TTAATAGTTTTTTCTTGATTAAATAGTAATAATGTTGATAAGCTCAAGCCAGATAGGGTAATCAATCATTTCAAAAAATTTCCAGCTCAACGATACCGCTGGTACAGTTTGTAATAGAATTTTTTTAATATGGACTATGATTGTTTTGGCCGAAACATCATGTTAAAAGTTTTAAGCGTTAACACTCACGATTAGCCACATTAAATTTAGCGTTTGAAACATTATTTTAAGTATATTAACCAAAACAATTGAAGCATGGAAAAACAATGATCATTTTGCTAGACATCAGCACGTTGACAAGTGTTATTGTTGTTATTATAATAACCTTGATCAAGATTATGTGGGTCCTTTTTATCGCACACCCTATTACAAAGATAATTTTTATGATTACTACACGTTAGATGGATGATTTTTAAATCTACCCAGGACGGCTACTAGCTTCAGACGAAAGGGGGGGGGGGGGGGTTTTTATGTGGCTAAAGCGTTTTTATCCTTGCGATGAAAGGCTGAATTTCTCAGCTATCAGTGCCTAGTTATGTAGACGTGTTGGTGTATGTTTCGGGATACGAAGTGAAAAGGGGGGGGGGGGAGTTTTTATGTGGCTAAAGCGTTTATATCCTTGCGATGAAAGGCTGAATTTCTCAGCTATCAGTGCCTAGTTATGTAGACGTGTGTGTGTATGTATCAGGATACGAAGTGACGACGTCAAAGAAATACGTGTTGGTGAGATGGTCAAAGCCAAGTTTTAAGATTTCTTTATTGTGTTTTAGTGAAAGACGACGAATTTCTAGGAGATACAGTTAAACACGGTGATCAAGACAGTAGTGAAACATATGGGAATGCTAGGGCACTCAATCTAAGTAAGTACGGGGCATTATTTGCAATTTAAAAAAACGACATATTATATAGATAAGCACAGGTGAGATTTGTACACATTTTATGTGTATGTATAAATAAAATTATCGTAAGTAACAAGTGACCTTAATTTGCAATACCATTTTTAACTTAAATAATTTATACAAAAGTGATAACTCTATAAATATTTATGTTTCCAGACGTCGAAAGTGAGACCAAGTGTATTGAAACGGTCTACACCAATGTGAATGGTACCACGTGTATTGAAACGGTATACAGCAATGTGAATGTAACAACGGTAAGAGAATTAGATTTTTTGCTGATAAAATTAATGAGGAAGTTATTTTACACATTTGACACAGCTCTGTTTCTCGGGTCTTTATTTTAGAGGTCATTTATATCGATAGGCATCAGGTCATGTGATGAGTTTTTATAGTTAAGTAGACAGTCATTACGTGATCTGATGAGTTTGTATCGTTACATAGACATACGCTAGATCATCTGATGAGTTTTCGTAGTTACGTAGACAGACTTTAGAGCATCTGATGAGTTTTTTTACAGCTACATTGACAGACGTCAATGATTATAAAAAAAACATGGCTCTATAAACTTTCATTTGTTTTTCTTTAAAGGGCATTCAACGCTAATCCCAGAGCATTGAACAGCGATGAGAACCAATAGAGATCCGGTGACAAAGCTGATGGAACAAAGATCAAATAAAGCAAAGATGTATATAAAAAAAAGATGACCCATTGGCGCGCTACATGTGTTGTTGTTGTTGAATCAATGGCGTTATGAACTCTCTGAATACACTTCTGGACAGACCTTTCTTTGCTACCGTTGACTGTAGGTTAAGAAAATTGAAACAATTTTCCCTTTTTTTTTTTTGCCGAAGGTCTTTTTTAAAGGCTTTTAAATATTATTTTGAATTTGATTTCGTTCACAACATAAAGTTCCCATGAACTTTTCAGGACACGCCATTTTAGTATGAACTTTGACTGACGACCCGTTACTTTACGGGCTGTTGAGATTGATGGGCTGTATTGTTACATGCAACTTGTCGAATTCAGGCTACAGCTAAATCCCCTTCTGCCAATCATCAGGATTTTTCAGCACACCACACGAGAAAGATGTATGTTGACTTACACACATATCAATCGAACGAATAACATTTTTATCTTGCATTTAGAGCAACAGATTTTTTTAAGCATCACCAGTAAGGTAGAACCCGACATTTTTTGTGTGCTTGCCTTGACAAGATTCTATTGTTTAAATGTTTTTGTCAAACACATTTTTGTACACCACTGTGAGTTGTATGTGTACCTAATGGTAGTTGACATATTGTCACAGGTGTGGGAGTTCAATAGTTGCCCTCTGACCTCTCTCTTTAGTTGGAGCTGATGTCTGTCTTTGTGGTTTGATTTATTTTCCACTTGTCACCAAAAACAAGGAATTGAGACGAATTCTGGATACCTCTAGCTTTCTTTTAGTAACCTTTTATTACCATGTCTGTGTCCTTCTTTCATGGAAGCTACATAAGCTTTAGGATACTCTCCTGCTTATTTATATATATATCTTTGTAACATAATGATATTTGATGTTTATTTACTGCTAAGAAGAAAGCACTATTTTTAAGATTTTATATCATCAGTAAAGAAAGATATGAGATGTGAATTCACATGTTATTTTCTAAAGAGCAATGAATTTATTATGACCTGTATTGAATCATCATTCCAATCAATTTTTTATTATATATAGTGTGTATGTAAATAAAGAATGCATATGTGAAGACGTGTTTTTATATGGGCATATGAGAATAATTAATAACTATTTGATATTCACTAAGATATCTGATCGGGTCATGGCAAGTTATAATAGTGACAGTGATATACAAATAGAGCGTGCCAGAGTCTAGAACTGCGACCACAAAAGTTTGATATACGCATTCACATTAAAGACTTTAAACCCACTTTACAAACACTTAAGAGTAGTACTTGCGGAACTTAGATGACACGGTGTTACAATAGCTCCTAGTAAATAAAAATTTGCTCAAAAACAAATTTACTTCCCAGGATTCATATTGGGATATACATTGATATAACCAACTGGTCTAAATCTTATTTTTTTAAAAATATAATGTGGTGAAGAGAAAGATAGGAAACGTATGAAATAATTAAGAAATTACCAGGTAACATTTAAATTTTTTTTTTTTTAAATAAAAACAGTTTTAAAAATAATTTGGTCTCTAAAACATTCGTTGAATGTATTTTCGTGAAAATTTAAATTTCCTCAAAGGACGCGTTTCTTATCTTGTTTCGTAAAATGTATTTTTTTTTTTTTACAAATTAATAACAATTAGATACTTGCTGCAACTTAAAGAGATCCTGTAGATGAGAACTCACTGTATCTGTTGTAAATACTTTAATAACGTTTTAGAATTAAAAGACACAAAACATACAGAAACACTAAGAACTGTGTGTGTACACACGAAAGAAAAATTTAAAATTTAACGATTTGATTGCATGCAAATTAAAGCCACATACCTAACGTATACCATGAATACTTCCTGTATCACAATGTAACATGTCACAATGGAATAATCAGAAAACGTCCGAGGACTTGCAAGCTGGCACTTCAATGTTCACACAAATCAGCCACAATAAATATAGTAAACTTATCTCACAACTTCCCTGGAGTGATATACGCACACTTGATACAGAATGAATCTTCCTTTTGCCCTTGATATTATGTAAGCCTTTTGTCTACAATAGTAAGAATCTTTTTCGAAGATTCAACGGCTTTTAAGAAAGGGTTTTAATACACCTCGTAACAACTGAAGGAGGCTTATATATAAACATCCCTCTCACTCTCTTCATGTACAAGACAGCTGTGACTAGAAGAAATAATTCAAAGAGATTTCTCCAAACAGGAGTTCGCTTTCAAATCTCTTTAATTTTATTTAATAACTTCCTTTAGAGGACCAGTAATAATTAATGATTTGTCACACACTAGGTAATTAGTCAGTAAATTTTTTTTTATCAAAGCAAGACTTTTTATTCATGTTTTTTTATATGAGAGTGAATCATCTACTTCTGGATTGGTAAGAATTAACCCTGTCAAGGACACCCATACTACATCTAGAAGACACGCGGAGGCTCCTGGAAAATCAAAATTCGCTTCCCACGAGTGAAACAACCAGTTTATGTTTTCAAAAGCTAGGGCGTTAGAGTAGAGCTTTCATATTATAGCACGTATACATTGAATTGTGTGTTAGAGGCGCAGTGTTGGGAATTTACCCCGATCTGATCTTTGGCAGGATATGTAAGTGGTTCGTCGTCGCTGGGCCCTCGGAAGATATTGGGGGCTCCTTTGCATTTGGGAAAAAAACTGACATTGTTAAGACTTTGTGTTTAAAGCATGTCTTTTATAGAAAACTGTGGCTGTCGTTACCAGTTATCACGTGCACTTGTCTTGGACTTTATTTACAGCACGTTATTAGCATTATTATTATTATAGAGTTTTATTAATAATGTTTTTCTTTTGTAAACACTATTTTAATAACACACACTAAAACATATGGTGAAAGATCTTTCTCTTTCTGTGCCCCAAAACAATGGAATTCTCTCCGATTACACATCCGCTATATACCATCCCAGCCTTCAAAACTGGCATCAACACCGATCTCTTCAAACTCTACCATACCGACTTAATCTCAGCCTCCTCTAACTGATCAACAACGCTCGATGCTCCTGGGTGCTGCCCGTGGCTAGACAGGGGTTGATAGTACTTGGGTGGGTGAGGTCAATCTTTTCACCAATTGTTTTTAAGTGTATAATTTTCTGTATTTGATTATTTTTATGTGAAGTGCCGTGAGCCTAGTCCTAGGCTGGGGTACTGCGCTACATAAAAACATATTAATAATAATAATAATTTAAATATGAATCAGAGATAATATCCTCAAACCGTTAATTGCCTAGAACTGGGTTAGTTGGAAAGAAATTCAAGGCCATATACACACTTGTATCACTTCCCATTGGACATCCGTTGATTGGGAAACTGACATATATTTTATTTCGACGTCAAGGGGAGAAATGATTCACTTCGTGAATTTTTAACTTTCAATAATTTAGTCCTCAGAATATTCCGAATTGTTGGCTTGTTAAGGATGTTTTGAAGAGAATTGTTAAATCTGAGCCCATTGAAATAACGTTTGATACGTTTGATTATTGTGAACTATTTCAAACCATGGTTTGGTTTGTGGTTTTGGAATTTTTTTAGAAGTTAATTTTAAATGCACGAAAATCAATAAAATAGATCATGAATTTTATCTAAATCAAACAATATAATCATACCAAAAACAAAATGTACAAAAAGTTTTTTAAAATGTACTTAGTTTTAAGCTACTTTTTAAAAATTATTTTTAAGTAAAGCAGAACTCGTCATAAGTATACAAATTAATTTAGTTTTATTATAACTCTATTTATTTAGCAAAAATGTGTACATATATATATATATATATTTAAATATATATATATATATATATATATAAATATCTATCTTTTGTTTTACAATAAAGTTTCATTTTTGGACAGTGTTATAGATTCGATATTCAAGTTTAAATCGTTCTCAAAGACGAGAGAATGTCAAGACATTTACAATGATTTATAACAAACGTTACTTAGTTGTGTGTCTCTTGGCGTTAGCCAGTTCCAAAGGTAATTTGAAAATTTGATTGACAATTATTATTTTTTATAAGTTTCACATTTAAGTTTTTTTTTTCCTCATATTAAACAAGGACGAAAATCATGATTAGTTCGTCATCCATTTTTTTTTTTTTTGGTCACATTCATGGTATGATAGAATTGAATTTTGTCTGCTCTATATCTATTTGAAACAAATTTTTGGACACAAGGGTGTGAATTTATATATCAAAAACATTTCGATTCCAGTGATTTCAAAGAAGATTCCATGTGCACAAACATTTAATGGCAAGTTCGTTGACATATCCTGCCATTCAAACAACGCTTACCCGGGATCCAATTGTACATGGATTCACCAGAAGCCGAGCAACAGGGTATAACCGATTTATGCTATTTAGTGTTATAATTACTATGCATGATTTTAATATCATATGCTTGATGCTTTTGGAATAGTAGTTTAGTATTTGGTTACATTCACTTATAGCATCGTCTTTTGTGCCATCTATTTTATACTTACAGTTTTTTTCTTCTTCAAAACTAATCAAAAACAAACATAAAAATAATTAAACAAATGAGTACATTCTATAAATTGTTGGAGCCTTTTAAATTGAAGCAAATGAAGAGGAATCAATAACTGTAGCATGGTTAATCGGTGGATACTTAATAATTACGATTAGTTTGGAAAATACAAATGACATGAAATGAAAAAAAATATTAAACCTTTAAATTCTCATATCGGAGTCTTTTCTTTCTTTTTTTTTTTTTAAAGTAATGCAAACACACTTTCAATACATGCGTATTTATAGCAGTGGTTTTTGTTTATCACACAATCGGTATTGACAAAAAATGTATCTCAATTATTATTTTTTTATTTTTTTTTTGAACGGTGTAACAAGTCTTTATGGTACAGCTTTCCATTCACTGAGCGTTGGAGAAACACAGTAACAACGACTTGTACAACGAGTATAAAAGAGCCAGATGTAGGGACACACACTGTCGTACTTAGCATTGCGTCTAAAACTGGGGGAGATGAAAAAGAGATTGGACATGTCCAATACAACATTGGTAAGAGAATAATGATCTCTATTAAAGTATTCATCTTGTAAACTCTTCCAATGATCAAAAAAGTACAATTAATGTGAACAGGCGCAATTCAATAACGAACCTGAAATGACAAAATAAGATGCGTGAATTTTACAGTTTTACTTAAAGGTATTAAAAATTTCATGTCAATGTTCAATTTTCGACCAATCAGAACGCGAGGTTTTAAATGTTTAAATATCTCCAGCTTTCAGTCACATTTCAGATATGTACTTTTAAAATTATGTATATATATATATATATATATATATATATATTTGTGTTCTTCAGAAGCACCAAGCAACTTGCCTAATTTCCAAACAAGGAATGGCGAAATAATAAATTCTGAAATTTTCCTAACTGATGATGAAGATGTCAGATTGGAATGTTATCAGTATGGCGGTGTACCTAGAGTATACAATATCAGTATTGTATGTGACATGAGCAAAACGCATGAGCCTTATAGTGGATATAGTGAAGGCAATCACGGCATCTGGATTAAAGTTAATCGAGCTTGGGATCAAACGACTTGCACCTGTTACACACATCACATTTCCACACCAAATCATTTCAAGAAATCTATGAAGATATTTGCAATATGTGAGTACTGAAACAAAGACTTGACGACTTACAAGTTATCGTAACACTTCCTGAAACATGTCATACTTAAATTGTTGAAACAAAACAATTTCTTTTCAGTTTAATTCAGATTATTTAACAAAAAGCTACAATATATAAATATATATATATATAACAAAAAGCTACAATATATATATATATATATATATATATATATAATTTTTATTGATATAAATGTCTCTATTCAGATTATGAATTACATTACAATATCACGATAAAAGCGATACGTAGTATATAAATGAATGAAAATCTAGATTTGGCAAAGCTATGGCTTTGCAATATATAAATCTTTTAAAATAATTGAAGCATAATTGATAAATATTTTTTTTTAACGAAATATTAATCATAAATTCAAATTTACTGTTTTTAAAAAGCTATGCGAAGTTGAAATTAACAATGACCTTGCAGCCCCTCCAAAGAAACTCACGTGCGATTATACCTTTCTGGGGGCGACGACGGCCCAGGTCACGTGTACCACTACACGAGTGTATCCCAAAGCTGAATGTAAAACTCACTTGCGCAATTCAAAGTCATCAAAACTTGTAAGTAATAAAATATTTTAATAGTTGAATCCTTTGTGGCAATAAATTGTGGTATTGAGATATTTATCTTTAGATGAAAGTTTCACTTTGAGTTGCTTTGAATAATTGAAATTTTTATTAAAACCCAAAAACAACATTTGGAAAACAAATCAGACAACAAAGACATTAACATGCTCTCCCTTGTTTTAAATACAAAATAGAACTATTGAAGAGTGATAAAATCATCTAAAACAGCTGTTTAGTCCACGTTTTAATTTTGAAGCTCTTAACATCTCGCCACTTGCTCTTCCGTGGTTTAAGTAGTTTTTCATATGACATTCTGAAACATTTCAGTGTGTCATTAAAATCGAGTTACTCACCCGGGTCTTAATTTAAAGAAGGTTAATTAAAGTGTTGACAGTTCGTCTGAAAATTGTTTTAAGTTTCTAGAGAATGTGAACCATTTTTAAATGGCGCAAAACTTTTGAAATTATTTATTTAAAGTTTTATCAAAATGGTTATATGTTTCTAAATATTTTTTTTGTAATGTGGAGTATGCTCATTTATATAGATGAAGACAGCTTTGCCTATTTCCTTTAAAGTAATTTAATGTTTAGAAGACGAGTTGGCTTAACTTCAATGTTCGTTATTTGAAATTTCTTAAAAATCTCAGTACAAGTGCAAAAACTCAGTTCGGTGTCATTATTTAAAATTAAAATAGGTACATCACCCATCTGAACATCAACCAACCCTGGAATCTGGCTACTTCACGACAAAATGTTTATCAAGTTTCGTTCTCACAAATCAGTTGAATTATGACGTCGATGTGGAGATGTATCCATATCTGAATAATTACAACACATACAAAACACCGGCCATGAAATCAGCACGTGTCTTAGTAACCGTAGGTAAGTTGGGATACACTACAGGTAATCTAAAACGCATACAAATATTTACATTTACAATAACATAAATGTCCAATTAAATATTACACAAATTGAGCAGTTGAATGTATAATATATCTGAAATTCACAGTCTAAATTTGTAAAATATGTTACAATGAAATTGAAGGTTTTTTTTTTTTTTTTTAAATATCGTTTTCCTATCACTACAAAAAATGCCAAGTTAAAAATAAAAAAAATCCTAAAATTGAGAATTATGAAAAATTTTAAATCATAAATATTTGTATTTCATTTGAATTGTAATGACTAGTTTTTAAATGATTCTTTTTTTTTTATATGAATCCAAGAACCTCCCAAACAAGCACCCAGTTTGAAAATATTAAACGGAGACCTCGTTGGTGATGCGTTGACCGTAAGAGATGGAGATCACATCACTGTTCACTGTTCGGTGACTGGAGGGAGACCATCCGTGATACGAACTCAAATTGACTGTGGTTGGAGACTATACACCAACAATGGGGCGTCTGCTACCTTCAGCCTGCGTGTAAATTTTAGCATGCACCAACGCGTATGCACGTGTTCTGCCAGACACGTATCTGAAATGTATCATCTGACCACTGCATTTAGCCTCAACGTTCAAAGTATGCACATATTTTGTTTCGTTTCATGTATTCACTTTTTTCATGACAGGAAATAATTTTTTTTAGTTAAAAAGTAAGCTATGTAAGCTATTATTGGCAATTATGGAATTGAATACGAATTTAGACACACATTTTAAGGGTATCTATTTTTTTAAATGTCAAATATGTATTCATATTTAAAAGCAATAAGTAGTTTATTAGCAATGTTATTAGAGTTGCATAATTTTGAAGAAAAAAATGCAAACTTCATACTTATTGTATGACTCAATGAGAAATAGCTACTTCAAATATATATATAATTGTATTTACTTCCTGTTTGTATCATTGGCAACTTCTAGGGTTTTGAGTGAGTTAGTTAATGTGGGTTAATTAAATGTATAAACTGTATTTTATAGGGGTGAGATTAACATGAGCAATGGCGTCAAACATTTTTTTTTTAAAATCAAACATTCAATTTTTATACGCAAATGTTTTAATGGTTTATACTTTGGTTATATCACAAAAGCTCAGACAGTTATTAACAGTCTACAGTTTCTTCCACCTCCTGGTCACATGACCAATGAGTACACACCCGGATCACAGTTAACTCTATGGTGCAACGGCACTGGAAATCCGAAACCTAAAAGTGATTTAATTTATGTGAAGGAAAGTAGACAATTAGATCATGCCGACGCTAAAGCATCACAAAAGGTGCGTACTACAGATCATTTCCACTACTGTGTATACAATGTACGTTTCGCCTCGTTCCTATAGCTTTACAATTATAAAGATAGCACTTCAGTCATTAATAGGTTGATATAAATATGACTTACGTGTATGAAACATTACACTAAGATGTTTTTCTCATGCTGCCATTAGATTATCTTGAAATATATTAAACACTATGAGATTTAGGGCCATTTTGTAAGCGAAATTTTGAAACCAGTGCCCTACCTGTGGTTATAACTATTATAAACAATTTATTTTAATCCCATACATGAAACCAATGAGCTGTTGTATGATCTTAATTATAATCGAGGGCTACACTTGAAAATTGATTTGTATTTTTTAAATTTTAATTTTTAAGGCCTATATGTAAACATTGACTTAATTTGTTTTAGAAGCCTATAGTTGAAAAAAATTGATTTTTTTCCACAGACCATTCGTTATTATTTGAAACATTCAATGACAGCGATCTGCAATAATACAGGTGCATACAGGTGTTCAGTCTCTAATCACTTGAATACAATTGAATCTAGTCAAGAGATTGAATTAAAAGTTAATTGTGAGTAAATGTATGAAATTTCTAATACATATAATTGTATCTATATTTGTTAGAATTTGTATACATAAATTATTTTAGATCTATGATAAAATATGCTTTTCTAATCAACAATTTCTTCAAATAACATAATATTATTTATTTTTTACGAGGAAGGACTTATCCCTTTATTATATGAGCCTGGTTTTCTCTATTGGACTTTTGATTGACACATTGAGAAAACTCGATAATCCACTTTTTAGACAATGGGGTGGGAACTGATAAAGTCGGAACCGTCGCATGACTTCTGGAGGCCCCCTTGCTATTTTCGAGAGTTAGCCTCCTGCAGAATAAGTTATTTTTTCGACATCACTACTTTGGACCCCTTAAAATATCCAAGGCCAATTGCATTCGCAGGGGTTGAAGGTGCCACTATTGTTATGATGGCTAGCACAATCCTTGTCCCCATCGCATTCACAGAGGTGGTAGTGCCCACTATTGTTATGATGGCTAGCACAATCCTTGTCCCCATCGCATTCACAGAGGTGGTAGTGCCCACTATTGGTATAATGGCTAGCACAATCCTTGTCCCCATCGCATTCACAGAGGTGGTAGTGCCCACTATTGGTATAATGGCTAGCACAATCCTTGTCCCCGGCGCCTTCACAGAGGTTGTAGGGCCAACTATTGGTATAATGCCTAGCACAATCCTTGTCACCATCGCATTCACAGAAGTTGAAGGGCCCACTATTGGTATGATGGCTAGCACAATCCTTGTCCCCATCGCATTCACAGAGGTTGTAGGGCCAACTATTGGTATAATGGCTAGCACAATCCTTGTCCCAGGCGCCTTCACAGAGGTTGTAGGACCCACTATTGGTATGATGCCTAGCACAATCCTTGTCCCCATCGCATTCACAGAGGTTGTAGGTCCCACTATTGGTATCATGGCTGGCGCAGCAATCTTTTTCTCAAGTCTTACTAACTGAGCTGTCAAAATAAAACCATTTTTAAACTTTATTTTATTCCTCTAAGTCTTGTCATTTTGTAATATAACCTGTTTAAATTGTATGGTATTTCGCTAAGCCTCCAAATAGTTTGGTCATTTTGAATTCAATGTCTCTTGCCCTTTCTTTGAACCCCCAAAAACCTATTTCTTATAAGTTCATCGTTTCAAACATATGATTTAAATTAGCTCTCAAAGACTGAGACCTAGAGGTATATTATTGCATTTTTTTAAATTCAACTTTAGGCCGAATACATCACTGTAGTTCATCTGATGATCTGCCCGGCTTTGGTGTCCAAGTTGGTGAAGACATCCACATAATTCTGTGCGTGATCGCTTACCAAACACCAATCAAAATCACTCTACACGCAGGTGATTTATGATTTATGACGTAGCTTATGTAAAAAAATTAATAAGCGTTAAAATATTTCAAATCTCAGATCAAATTTCTGCAATGGAATTTTTTTTAAAATTATTTCTTTGCATAAAGATTTCCCCTGATAATCCATTACGATAATTTTAATCTGACGATTCTAAAAACTATAAATTATTAGTATCATTAATCAACGCATAAAAACATGTACAATGTGTGTGAATTCCAATTCAGATAATAACAGTAATTAAAGTAGGCATAAAATGGAAAACATGACAATCAATTATGAAAGGTAATCATTAAATTGAAGATACGCTTTAACGTTTTTTGATGAAGAACAAATACTCTCTACGCTATGATAATTTAAAGATACATAAATAATTCGTCTATTTACCACATGCCTATTGACCGAGAACAAATGGCGTCTTTTTAAGATGCACTCGAATTTTCAGGTAACGGTTCGGCGGAAGCTGATGCAAGAAACTATACCGTGAGATTCACAGATACAGACAGGACGTTGTCACGTGGCCTGGTCAATGTTACAATGCACAACATGGCTGTCGGTGACCTTGGAATGTATTCATTGCGACTCACTCTGCCCCCACATGGCCCAGTTGAAGAATCAATTTTGAACTTTACCCTCTATGCCAAAGGTGAGAATAATTAAATCATCGCTACTTTTTTTAAAAGTAACCTATACAGTTTAATACGTATGAAAACGAATTTTTAAAAAAAAAGTTTTATTTATTGGTCCCTAATAAAAATAGTTGTGTTTTCAACAAAAAACAAACAAACAAATTTCTGAGACAAAATTAAAATGAATCAATAAAGACATTTGAAATTTGTAGAACTCCAAATATTTTCATATATTTATTTTAACACATTTAACAAATAATTAATCATGAAATAATTTTATGATGATTTATCGTTAACATAAAAACAATTGAAAAGTTCAAATTGATTTTATTATTCGACAGGTCGACCACTGTGCCCCTATAACTTAACGTTAATTAATCAGTCCCATGACAACGCCATTCTCACCTGGATACCTGGATTTGACGGTGGCTTGCCTCAGACGTTTGTGATAGTCCTAACTACGCCAAACTCATCTACACCTTCACCTGGCCTCGATGATTCTGTTGTAGTGGCACATGTGCCACAAACAAAGAATGATTTTATGGAATACAACCTGACGGACCTGTCCAACCGGACACATTCCGTGGTTCACGTGCAGCCTGAAAATGCGGAGGGAGCAAGACAATGTCCCGACGCCAACATCGCGTTGACTCAGTCAGGTAACAAGTTTATTTGTCTTAACGAATGTGTGTTTTCAGTTGGGTTATTGCATAATGTTATTGCATGGGAATTCTGTTTGTTGTGTATGTTCCGTTATTGAACTAAAATCTCATATAAACATAGTGAATGTTAATTCATCAGTGTTTTCGTGAATCTTGAATTCTTTAGAGTATAGTATGTTTAAATAAACATGATATATCAATTCAAAAATCGTTGGAATTTTTCATGGGATCAATGGCTAACCCCCCCCCCAGCTACCCCCCCCCCGTGCTTATAACAGGTTTATTTGTAAAAAATTAACGCAGTCATCTGTGGGTTTAATACGCTGTGACTTTATTCTATATTTAGCTTACAACAGCCAGTCATTGCAAAACGGAAATTAAATCCATAACGTAATTGCTTGAATAAATTCATATCGTTAGGACTTCGTTTTAAATACATGCTCTTACACATGGCTCATAAGACATGAGATGTGATTTGATAATGGAGAACAACGATTGCCTCCGAACCAAGAAATATACATTTTCTTTTAAAAATCGCAGAAGAAAAAATCCGTTTCAAAAGCCTTTACTACTTTCACTTTATTCGATGAGGTAAGATTTAACTAAAAATTTTAAATCTAATTCGGTCGTTATGTTAGATTCACTACTTTGACATAATTAAATATTCATAGAATCTCTTTTGAGGTGTTAATTAAATATTTTATCCCATTTTATCTACTTTAATTTCTGGTCTTCTATTTCATTTTTAGATTTGACCATTGTGATGTAATTTCCTTATGTACTAAATGCAGAAGAGATCGGACGTTTCAGTCAATCTGGAAATCATGATCAATTTTTTTTTAATGTATTGTTATAATTGTCAAGAAAGTTATGTTGGAACTTGACATGAAGTAGCTGTAAGTATTAACGAACCACGCAGAACCAGGGAGTGGTTTTTTGGAGAACCCACAGCCACTTTTTTTGGTTTTCTGCCCCATGCATTCAAATTTGATATTTTATATTTATTGCCCAGCATAAAAAAATTGGCCACATTAAATATCTCAGTCCCCCTGAAGCCACAGGGCTTTCAATGCCCCCGCAACCGCTCTGGCTACAGCAATAGCTTGTCAAATTGCAGTATAAAACACACAAAATTATGATTGTGATTTTGCTTTTTATAAAGCTCAAAGACGCAGTCCTCAGTGTCAATCATGTTTATTGTGAATTTTTCTTTATCTTTGAAAGTGTTCCCACCCTATGTTTTCTCACATGGTAAAAGACATTTTTCTGGGTGGTCGAGTGGTCTAAACTGAGGAAATCTCAAGTTGATAGTCTGGAGTTCAAAGCCCAGTCAAGCAAAAAACACCAGCACCCCTGGGTGGATGGGACTCGTTAACCTTGGATTGGATGCTCATCTAAGAAAAGGAAACTCTGAATTCAAAGCCGTAAGGCGGATAACATTGGTACAATGGAACATTCCGGCAACTCCACTGGTGCCAAGCTGTATCATCCACATGAGAGAAACAGCTTATACTCCTAGAAAAATAATCTCAGACCTTCTTGATTTCGTTCTGCGAAGTTCACACCATCGTCACATTGTGACGGACGGATGCCAAGAAAGTATTATTTGATAAACAATAGATATTAGTTAATTCATGAGTATGCATTCGTTTTATTCGTATTCTCCCCTCTGTGTTCTAAGCAGGGTCACGTGATGATCTACTCTGGGTAATAATCTACTCTGCTTCCAGTGTCACGCTGACTGCTCTATTCATGGGCGTGTTCATCTGGGCGCTACGTAAACCTCAGAAGCGCAAAACTCATTTTGATGGTAGGAAGAAATTGCATATTGAATCTTGTGAATGTTATAGTTAGTATTATTATGGCTAACACAATGAACACTCACACGTTGTATCCAGCTGCGTGTCCATATCTTGAATGGCTTGTTACAAGCAAAGATCACATGACCTCTCCCCTCTCACCCCATGCATCACGGTCCTCTCCTATTCCGAACAAAGGGAAACAACTGTAACAACACAACGACCTCACAACAGTGACCACCTTGCACATACTACTATTTATATTTTAAAAAATAATAAGATAAATAATTTCGGAGCGGAGCTGAAATGGAGCTCGTTAAACAAACAAACAACAAACCTGTTCCACAAACCTGGTATCCATGGATTTTATTACCGCATGTTTGGCGCACCGGTAACGTGATCCAAATTCTCCGCTCATGCTGCAAGTTTGAAACAAAACAATTTTAAAACGTCTGTGCCATTAGGATACAGCGATGGGAGTAACGTATTAGAATGTCAATAAGTTGTTTCATGGAGTTTCGGGAATCACATATTCGTTCAATGCCGATCAAGAATCGATGCATCGAAGCATCGATACAGCTATCATCTAATTATTGAAGAATCGATACAGATTTCATTTTAACAATCAAAGCATCAACTATTGAAAGATAGATTCAGTCGTCATTTAACCATCGAATCAGAGCCGGCGCTAGGGGATGGCGAAGTGGGCGACCGCCCAAAGCCCTACGTTTGTGGGGCCCCGCATATGTCATAAGTATATAGTATATTTATAATATGCATAAGCCTACTAAGAGTTCCTAATCCAGTCAACACAATATTCGGAGTTATTAGATGGTCTGAAGGCCAGTCTTCGAGAGGAATCTCGGTAACAATGGAGCCGCGATGAGTAATTTGGGCCAGGGCAATTAACTGTTACAGGAAAAAGTAAAAATTTCGGAAACTAAGCGAGTGAACAAATATCCGTTATGACGCGTCCCATTATGACCAGCAAGGCCCCAGTGCCTTAATATCATATCGGCGGAAGATATCACGTCAACGGCCCCGCAAATTTCAATTTGCCCAAGGCTACGCCCGTCTCCTAGCGCCGGCCCTGCTCGAATCATTAATGAAACTCAAATTCTTATGTTTCTCTAGTTCTAAGAAGGGAATCGGAAAGAACACGCGTCTATTTATTATTATTTTTTTTTTTTTTTTCTTTTTTGGTCCCAAATTCAGACTAAGTTATTTTTAATTTGAGTTTGTCCAGTTGAGTGTATGCTTTTTAATTTTTAATATCACGTCAACGGCCCCGCAAATTTCAATTTGCCCAAGGCTACGCCCGTCTCCTAGCGCCGGCCCTGCTCGAATCATTAATGAAACTCAAATTCTTATGTTTCTCTTGTTCTAAGAAGGGAATCGGAAAGAACACGCGTCTATTTATTATTATTTTTTTTTTTTTTTCTTTTTTGGACCCAAATTCAGACTAAGTTATTTTTAATTTGAGTTGGCCCAGTTGAGTGTATGCTTTGAAATCTTTTTATTTTTGTGTGCTAAAACCCCCATTAGTTTCACTTTTGTAAGTTAACTGATTTCATAATAGGGCTGAAAAATATTTGCAAGTGTCTTAAAATGTTGTTCTCTGGTCGAAAAACGCGATGACGTGAAATCACATCGAGAGACATGGTGGATTGTTTTTTTTTTTTTTTTTTTTTTTTGTTTTTGATTGTTGGGGCGGTTATATTTTATTTTTTTTTAATGTCATTAATTTTACATTTTAATGTTTTTTTTTTTTTTTTTTTTTTTTTTTTTTTTTTTTTTTTTTTTTTTTTTTTTTTTTTTTTTTTTTTTTGTATTTGATTGTTGGGGCGGTTATATTATATATTTTATTAATGTCATTAATTCTACATTTTAATGATGTTTCTTCTAGCGGTAGAGGAGAGGTCAGGGGTCGAAAGGAAACGAGGAGAAAACATAGTTCAGAATTCTCTAAGCCCTGAAAACAACTTCCCTGAAAACGAGTCAATTAATCTCTACACCAAAGGTGAGATTTTTTATTTTGTTTCCTCCTTCAATACACTTTACATATTTTGTCCAGGCATTCATTGTACTTTAACTTGTCGAGTGCTGCTTCCATTGTTATTTAACTTGTCGAGTACTGCTTCCATTGTTAGTTTAACTTGTAGAGTACTGCTTCCATTGTTAGTTTAACTTCTCAAGTACTGCTTCCATTGTTAGTTTAACTTGTCGAGTACTGCTTCCATTGTTAGTTTTACTTGTCGAGTACTGCTTCCATTGTTAGTTTTACTTGTCGAGTACTGCTTCCATTGTTAGTTTAACTGGTCAAGTATTGCTTCCATTGTTAGTTTAACTTGTCGAGTACTGCTTCCATTGTTAGTTTAACCTGTCAAGTACTGCTACCATTATTAGTTTAACTTGTCAAGTACTGTTCCTATTATAACTTTAAAATGTCAAGTGCTGCTTCCATTGTTAGTTTAACTTTTTAAGTACTTTTCAACACCTACCAGACCTGTACTTGACTTGTGTAAAATGGAAATAAATTATTTTAACACTGATGAGTAGCTAGAAATAATAATTATTTAACACTGAGGAGTAGCTACAAATAATCGTAAATTTAACACTGACCGAAAAGATAGAAATAATCATTAGCTGAGACGCAGAGGGGCTGCACGCGTAGAGACGTGGCCGGGCTGAACGGCCGACGGCGCGGCCACAGTGTGTGCCAGGACGCAGTGTTTTTGTTTCCAACTGTCACAGAGCTGTTGTTTTATTCCAGAGACCCTTTCCTCGAACAAGGCTGGCTGTCCGAACAAGGGCGGGTTTATGGCAAGAAAACCTGCGCCAGCCGAGGGACAAATCTACGCCAACGTCAAATCGTTAAAACGTTAGTATGTGTGTGTGTGTTTGGGGGGGGGGTGCGTGAATGAGCATGATTGTCTTTTTGTGGTTGTGTTTGTGCGTGCGTGTATTTGTGTATGTGTGTGTGTGTGTTTGTATGTGCGGGGGTCTGTTTCGTGTGTGTATGTGCGTGCTATGTTTCAATTTTTTCGTCATTGTATTCTTCTTTGTGTGTGTGTGTGCCTGGCTGTGATTATGCGTACTTGTTTGTGCGTATGTGTGTGTGTGCAAGTGTGTGATTAGTCCACCAAGCACAAAATGCCACGAGGCATAATTGGTACCGTAATTATTATTTTTATTATTGAAATGTTTTTTGTTTTTTTTTAATTTAGAACTATAAGGGCAGAACTTATCTGGCAATAATGAACTATTTTTCAACATTGTTTTAGCCACAAGAGAGGACGACAACCCTTCACAAGGCATATACAACAACCCTTCACAGGGCATATACAACAACCCTTCACAGGGCATATACAACAACCCTTCACAAGGCATATACAACAACCTTGGTCATGTAATGGTAAGCAGCTTACACACACACAACAAAAAAAGCCATTCAAACACGCATACCAAACCAAGAGTAAGCATGTCTCGTCACGTGAGAAATGCATTGTTATAAAAAAAATATGAAGACATGTTAAAGAAGATCTAAAAAGATTGAAAGCTTTCTTGCATAATTTAAATTTTATTGAATTCATACACTCTTTTGTCGAGTCAAGACCAGAAAAGCTGATGAAGCAATTTATACATTTTTTAAAAAAAGATATTTTGAAAAGCTGTAAAGAATTTGTTACTTTTTAACGTCTTAATATCATTTCTGTTTAGGGGTAGAAGTTTTATTATGGGCGAAACAAAGTTTGGTGGATGAATGTTCCTTCAAATGCGGAAATTTGTGAAGAAAAATTAGTTTGTGAGGGAGGGGGAGGATTTTTCCGACTAGCAATTTTTAAATATTTGTTGCTTTTGGTGTTTTCTCTGTGGGTTTAATTTAGTTTGATTTGCAGGCGTCCTCAGTAGCTGATCTATTTGAAAAATTGCGAAATAATTATTATATTTTCCCACCGTGAAGTTAGTAAAACTTTATGAGGGAGACCACTCTTAATGTTTGGTTGCTATTATCAACTATTGTAAACAAAAAAGGAAGTTTGGATTTGAATTTTTTTTTATTTTTTCAAGAATCACAGGTCTGGTTGACTAATGGAATGATTATGTTATCATACTTAATTATAAGATTAAATTTCGTGATTTTCTCTTTATATTCTGTACAATGCTTGATGGCTTTTTTTTTTTTTTTTTACATTTGATATAATTCACAATCGATTTTTTGTTTTTTTTGGGGGAAACTGATACTCATTCGGACAAGTGGGTGCAAGTGAGGGGGGTATGGAAGTCCTTATTTTTTTTTTTTTTTTTTTGTTTTTTGTTCTTTGTTTTTTTTTTTTTTTTTTTTTTTTTACATTTGATATAATTCACAATCGATTTTTTGTTTTGTTTGGGGGAAACTGATACTCATTCGGACAAGTGGGTGCAAGTGAGGAGGGTATGGAAGTCCTTTATGAATACTTTATCTCATTAAGCAAACGATTTAACACTTGATAAATACAAATGTATGTTTCTATTAATTTAATTGTTTAAGAGCAGATCACATGGATTATTACATAAAACGTAATTTTGATGTTTTCTTGCTGTTGTAAACAATAGATTAACAAATAACAAAATAAACGAAAACTTGATTTTATTTTTATTCTGCGGGAACACAAAAAGTAGTTTTAAAACTAAAACTTTATGCGGAGTGAAAAATTTCCTTACTGTATAATTATTCTATATGTTATCTATCGTCCTAATACTGGCATGTTCCCTTCACCAACAGCCATCAAAAACAGTTGCAGGACCGTATCAAACTAATAAGGTCAATTTCAAGAATAAAGTTTGTAATCAAGTCGATGGAGGCCAAAGTGGCCGGACAGTTAGCCCCGGGGGTCTCATCTACCTAAGCGTCGTGGTCGACCCTAAGACGGAGGAGGCGCAGATCCACAAATCGCAAGCAACGCTGCCTCGGCAACGCACGGAATACATGACGTTAGATCTTAAGGCAACCTCAAGGTGCTGAAAGTGAAGAGCGAGCTAACAAAAGTATAAGGACACAGTTGATTCTTTATAGTTTGAATCTATTGAAGTATCTGTCAGATGAACTGTATTAGGCTTTACCTCGCAGCTTTTAAAAGGATATATGACATTCATAACAAAACTGTATAATTAAGAAAGTAAATTAAATGCAGTCAAACGAAATTATTTCACTTGGGTGAATTAGATGAATAACTTATAAGGTACAGTCTCGACTGAGACTTTTAACAGCATGGTGTAAACATCATTCACCCCCCCCCCAACTTACTAGCCAATTTTGTTTAAAATAATCATGAAGTCTATGATGTATACATAGTCAATGTCTTTTCTTCTCAATTCAAACGGATTTTTTAAATAAATTTTTAATTGTAATTTCAACAATAAAAAAAAAAAAAAAAAAAAAAAAAAAAAAAAAAAAAAAAAAAAAAAAAAAAAATCAGAAATAAGTATTTACCAAATGTTACTTAAAATATCGCATTTTACAAAAAATTGTAATATATTTTGACTTGCTTGTTTCGCTGATATTAGCATCTTGCAATGTGTACTTTTTTGTTACATTTAATGACGTTTTTTGAAATATGACATTAGTAAATTTGAATTATAATAATTGTCGACACTCGTATAATATCGGATTTTAAACAATGTAAACATTTGTGACACTTCTCAAAGTGTGTTTGTGCTCATCCCACTGTGTTACCAAGTGGTTCATCAACAAAATATTTAAAGAAAAATAATTGAATTTGAAGAAACATTAGACACTTAAAAAAAAAAAAAGAATTCAACACATATTTTTATGAATCCTTTGTAGGAGGAATAGTTTCAAATACTGTCTTTTTAAACAAAATTTAATGCAATATTTATAACAGTTTGTTAAAATTATTGTGGCTTCTCGCCATTGCTTTTTATTTTTTTTTAAATGTATTATTCCTCCTGCACTGTAGGAATAAATTATCAAGCAATGTCTGAGCGCACTGCAATCCGATACGTCATTCAAAATGGTGATGAAATTTCCAAAACATTTCGCAACTCGGTTTTACTGTACAATAATAATACAACTTTTAGCATGCACAATTCACTTATCTCAACACAAAACTGAAAAAAAAAAAAAAAAAATAAGAAAAAGCTCGCCCTCTTCTTCGTGAAAACTGGCTGTCATATTTTAATGAAAAAAAAGCCCCCTGCGTCACATTGGGAAATGGTGTCGGTGGGCCGTCCAGGGCGAGCTCTTAATTGCCCCCCCCCCCCCAATCCCGGGAACCCCTCCACTCGGGCAAGACTGCGGGTTTTCCCGCCACCGGACCGAGCAGCGGCACGCCAGGAACCTCCCTTTTTACCTCGGAGACGCCAGCTTGACCGAAAACGCTTAGACCTCGGAGACGATTCCCTTTGCGCAGGACAGAAAAAGCCTTATCACCCCCCCCCACACACACACACACACACACACGCACACACACACACACACATACATAAATACACACATTTTCCCCGGTTCAATCCAAGTTACACTCAAGACTTAGACACACGCTGGGGTACCGCGCTATATAAGCCCCTTATTATTATTATTATTTCACGCACAAAAAGACATGTTTAGGAAAACATGAAAGTTGATTTTTTACTTTTGTATCTTTTTATGTGACAAATGATTTTCCAACATTTTGACATTGAACAGGGGCATCGATTTTGAGCCTAAAAGAGTTCAAAGATCAATCAGCCATGTTACCTGTTATCACTTTGTCTGCCAATCTCGTTAGCACAAAGACACTAGTGGGTATACGGCATTTTCAGAGTCTTGGACAAATCCATTTTTTTTTAAGTTTAAAAAAAAATATTTAAGTTTCATATATTTCATGTCACATGATTATTGTTTGATTGGAAATATTTTAACTCTGGCATTGAGCATGTACCTGATCACGTGACCATATCGAAGCTCATTTCCTCTCAAGCTACTAATTTGATGTTGTTCACGCATTCTGATATTTGAAATAAACTCATTAATCCACCCAAAATATGAAATAAGGTTTTGTTATTTGAATTTTTTTACAAACTCAATATTCAGTTGTTTAATAGTTGTATTCAAATGATACAGGTCTTACTCTTTAGTTTTATACTAGGATAAATCATAAAAGCGATTGGTTATATCATAAGACATCGTACTTACCAAATCTAAAAAAATATGTCTTAAAAAGTGAGGGCATTTAAATAATCATATTAATAATTATAATTTAATTATTTTTTTTTAAATGGTGGGTAAATTAAAAAAATTAACAAATCAGACATTTGAAAAGTTGTAAATTTTGATAAGAAACATAATTACATTATTATTCTTTAAAACGTCACTGTAAAGGTATCAGCGTCACAGCATGCGAAATTTGCTTGACATATTTATATTTTTTAAATATATGAATAGTGATCGTTAACCAACCTAATGTCATTGACATGATTTGGGACAATCTTCTAATACCTAAATACTCACCGGCTACAAGGTAATCGTTCCAGACGACAGACAGAAGTGGGTTTCCTTTGCCTTAAAGCACAAGTCAACACAAGAATATATAATGATGGAAGACATAGTAGTGATGATAACAATCACGACAGCGCCAATGTTAGCCGGGACATAAAAATTAAATACATTCACGTCCACTATAGAGGTTGATGCAAGGATGTGTCTACGATATCGACACTCTTAACAATATTATGCACATTAACTTCTTAGCATACACGCAGGTCCCGTAACCATTTCGAGACCCATTGCGTCTCAAGCTACTTTTAAAAAGTCTACGTTTTGTTGTTGATGTTCGCTGGGAAAGCTGTTCAGCTGATGCCTCATTGTCACCGTTTCCTATTTGAAGCGTCCAGAGCCGTGTTCCTGGTATTAACGTCAGTGCTACCAGTAGGTTATCTGCCGTGCGATGCATTTTTTTAAAAGCCTCCCATATTCAAACTATATTATTATATCTCCTTACGTCACATCCCTATTGCTGTCCTCTAGGATAAAATATCTTGGATACAACGTCTGGTATACAATGTCTGGAATACAACGTCAGGGATACCACATCTAGGATACAACATCTAGGGTACAACATCTAGGATACAACATCTGGGATACAACATCTCGGATGCAGCATCTCGTATACAGCATCTAGGATACAACATCTCGGATACAACATCTAGGATACAAGAACTTGGATGCAACATCTCGGATGTAACATCTCGGATACAACATCTAGGATACAGCATCTAGGATGTAACATCTTGAATACAACTCGGATACAACACTTCAGAAAAGTTTATATTTTTTTATTTGTGTGTTAGACTTTGTTTGTTCAATGGAGAAGGCTTTTGGCCGACACTCTCGTTGTTTTGTTTTTTTTTTGCGTCCTATTTCACACAACCTCTTTCATAGATTTCCTTCATCCCCTTAGTTAACGTGCCTAGTGGTTGGTTGGTTGGTTGAATACAGTTGAAAATTTAGGATCAGGTCTTCGGGACTACAGATTTATTTGTTCTAAGTATATGGTAATAAAATTAGTCAGAGACAAAGCGAAGAAAAAACAGAAGGAAAAAGAAGCAATTTCATAAAAGAAATAGGATACAAGTTATTATTTAAAGCAGGGGCGGCCAGCCATTTTAGCAGGGGCGGCCAGCCATTTTAGCAGGGGCAGCCAGCCATTTTAGCAGGGGCAGCCAGCCATTTTAGCAGGGGCGGCCAGCCATTTTAGCAGGGGCGGCCAGCCATTTTAGCAGGGGCGGCCAGCCATTTTAGCCGGGGCGGCCAGCCATTTTAGCAGGGGCGGCCAGCCATTTTAGCAGGGGCAGCCAGCCATTTTAGCAGGGGCGGCCAGCCATTTTAGCAGGGGCGGCCAGCCATTTTAGCAGGGGCGGCCAGCCATTTTAGCAGGGGCGGCCAGCCATTTTAGCAGGGGCGGCCAGCCATTTTAGCAGGGGCGGCCAGCCATTTTAGCAGGGGCGGCCAGCCATTTTAGCAGGGGCGGCCAGCCATTTTAGCAGGGGCGGCCAGCCATTTTAGCAGGGGCGGCCAGCCATTTTAGCAGGGGCGGCCAGCCATTTTAGCAGGGGCGGCCAGCCATTTTAGCAGGGGCGGCCAGCCATTTTAGCAGGGGCGGCCAGCCATTTTAGCAGGGGCGGCCAGCCATTTTAGCAGGGGCGGCCAGCCATTTTAGCAGGGGCGGCCAGCCATTTTAGCAGGGGCGGCCAGCCATTTTAGCAGGGGCGGCCAGCCATTTTAGCAGGGGCGGCCAGCCATTTTAGCAGGGGCGGCCAGCCATTTTAGCAGGGGCGGCCAGCCATTTTAGCAGGGGCGGCCAGCCATTTTAGCAGGGGCGGCCAGCCATTTTAGCAGGGGCGGCCAGCCATTTTAGCAGGGGCGGCCAGCCATTTTAGCAGGGGCGGCCAGCCATTTTAGCAGGGGCGGCCAGCCATTTTAGCAGGGGCGGCCAGCCATTTTAGCAGGGGCGGCCAGCCATTTTAGCAGGGGCGGCCTGCCATTTTAGCAGGGGGGGGCAGCCATTTTAGCCGGGGCGGCCAGCCATTTTAGCAGGGTGGGGCAGCCATTTTAGCAGGGGGGGCCAGCCATTTTAGCAGGGGGGGGGACGAATTTCAGAAATTATATTTTCTGCCGGCCGCGCAACCTAATTTGTGTTTATTAATTAAGGTCAACCAGCAAGCGTGCTACAGCTTCAACCACGACATCGCTTCCCAGTAGCTGAGATCGTAGTCTCACGAATCTTCTCTTCTTTGGTCCCATGCCTTTACTAGTTGATACCATGGCAAGTCGTGAGTATGAGCCTAAACAGGCCGAAGACCACAACATATAAATCAGAAGTTAAAGTCTCCTATTAAAGTTTTTTTTTTAACACCTAGCGTCGGACTAAAAAAAAAAGCTAAGTAAACTTGGGTGTCAAATTGCGGGATATGTCAAATAACTATAAAGTCTATGCATTTTTTAAAAAAAATGCGATATATATATACAATTGCACTTAGTTATAATAAAAAAATTCTCTTACTTATAATTAAAAAAATATGTGATACAAACGACCCATGGTGTTATGTTCTTTTGGTGTAATCTACAATAAAGTTAACATTTTATGTTCATTTGACCTAACTCCGAGGGCCTCGTGTTGGCCGCACCTCTGATTTAAAGAGACAAACATTTAAGTATATAGAAATCGCAATTAACACAGTGGGTATCTTTTGGTGACAGGTTATTCAGAGTATGACACAGGTGCATAACACTCACAGAACATGTGTTTTCATAACGAGCAATAATCCAGTTGAAAACCAAAGTTTAAATTTCAGTGAGGTGTCTACGTGTTGACATTATTGCCCTGGTTGTTACACAGAGCGTAAGTCCCATTATTACTGTTAA